TCTCTAGTGCATTTTGTACTCTTCTCGTGCGATGGGGCCTAGCATTGTCATTCATGAAAATAAAATTGGCTCCAATTTCATTTCGGAGAGGATAAATAATGGGTTCAATAATGTTTCGAACATATGTTTTTCCTGTCATAGTATCTGGATTGGAAATGAACTGCGTACGACGACCATGCATTATGCCTCCACAAAACATTACTGATCATCCTTGGTATCGAACGACTTCTCTAGCAAAAGATAGCATTTCTTGTCGGCCTAGCCGTCTCCAAACTCTGTGTCGCTGACTATCACCAACTAAACCAAATCTGGTTTCGTATAGAAAAATGACATTTCGCCACTGAGCTAACAGCCAGTCTGTGTTCCTGTGCCCACTGTAGACGAGCAGCTATTCGTCTGGGAATTAGCCTGGGTACTCTACTCGTAATGACCTCCTCCTCCTTGTGGTACTGGAAATTAAACGACCAAACGTTCTTTTCAAATGAGTTCGGACTGCGGAGACTGTTATGATTCGATTCCGACGTATATCTCCTGCTAGATACTGATCATCTCTTACCATTAGTTACCTTAGGACGCCCAGTTCCACGTCTCCAGTCAACGCTGTTATTTTCCTGGTACAAATGCATTATTGCGATAACTGAAGCGCGAGAAATCCTTAGTCTATCTGCGATTTGATGATTCGGCAGACCGTCATCAGTGTTCTATGGAACACTGAAATTCTATTGCCAGACATATTTGCAAAGAAGAAGCCAACAATCACACGCTGAATCGATATGAACCATTTTTGAAACATTGATATCTGATAAGTATTAGAGGTATTTTTTTTTTGTAAACATTTTTGCATGCCTAGCATAGGTGAAAGATATGAAGATGAAATGTACAAAAAACCAGCCATGATAAATATTTTGTTTTACAATTTACGAGGGGGTCCAATAATTTTGGCGATATGTGTATGAATATTACTGGAGTTTTTTCCTAACACAAAACCGTTATTTCAACACCGCGGCACGTGTTTAGATCCTCAAGTGATCATCTTCAAATATACATAAACAGATTTTACAATGTTGCCCTATCTACTAGTTTTATATTAAGGAAGATCAAACTGTTTCAGTTTGGTTTGGTGTTGGGGAGAAAACTCCATTAATATTTATTACTACACCAAAGATTCCGAACAGTGCATCACAAAAAAAATGATGATTCTCAACTCTGCGAACAAAACTACTGATATCGAGAATTCACTACATTTCATTTCGTTTAAATTTCCGCGCCAGATCTTTTGGGAAAAAACACAAGACATCCTTATTGACGCCGAGGTCTGGGGACAAAGAGTATTCAATGCAAAATTTCCTTATAATCCAGAATGTAGTCGGATATTCATTATTTAATTGAACGCATGATTTTCAATCTGGAGTATCAAGAATCGTGTAGATCAGTCTTTGAAGAGAATAAGATACTTATGCACAGGGCATGTATTTATTGAAAATACTATTATAGGTTCATAAAAACATTGAAAATATCGAAAAAATCTCGGATATTCATAGTTATTCGATGAGAAGTCACAATAATCTGAAAAAAACCAAATTTATCTTATAAGCGGTCACCAGCATGGGCTGGAAGTTTCTAATATAACTTGCTGCCGAGAAACAGAAAGTCCTATCAACAAATTTGAAAATAGTGTGAGAACTCTCTTGACCACTAATCCGATATAAAAAGTTGATGAATTTTGAAGTTGAAAAATTCTAACGTGATTCCTAACACGGGTAAAACGATAGGAAGTGAAAATCGATCGTCCGGCTTTGCGGCTCGAACCACCGGTTCACACAGCGGTCGATTGAGTGAGTCGAGCAAATCACCCACGTCAACCCACCAAGCTACCGTCCAACCTTTGTATATTATGATTTTATATTCATGAGTATTGTCTTAATTGCATGATTTGTATGTATGAACAATTTTTATCTATTTGTATATAGGCGAACCTAACATATTTTTTACGGCAAAAATGCAATAAAGGATTTGGATTGAATCAAATCCGATTCAGACAACTAGAAGTGTTGCCAAACCCGAAGGTGCTGAAAGAAAATCTATCTCAAACAATCGTTGAATAAACGCTTGCAGATCACAAAAATAGTTGTTCGTGAGAATGATATCTGAACAACCACCGACAGGAAATACATCAGAAGACATAAGCTTCACCCCATGAGATAAATAAAGATGGCACTGACGAGAAAATGCAATTTTGTTGATTGCAAATCGAAACTGCCTAAAAAGTAGTAATTTTGGTGGTGAATGCTTTTCATAAAAGTAAATGTCCGCCAAAATGTGCGTGAACACATACAGTGCATTTCTTTAATGCCCCCCCTTTTATTTTTTGAACGGGTCAACTCAAATATCCATATCGAATTCATTAGGATTCGCTTCGACGATTTCAGTGATGAGAGGGTCAACAGTAGTTTCCAGCATATTCAAATACGGTTCCCCTGTTGAATTTTGATCAATATAAATAGAGGTCCTACAATATGGTTTCCCAATATTCCTGCCCAAACGTTAATTTTTTCTGGATATTGGGTATGTGTTTCCCGGAAAACGTGAGGGTTGGTGTCATTCCAACAAAAAAAAATTGAACAAACCTTATCAGGTTATTGGAATTGCCATATGGCATATAAAAAGGAATATTTCTAGGAATATCGATATTAAATGTGTTTGTCTTCAGGAAATTATCAAATGTTTCGCCATTTTGTAGTAGGTGAAGATATTGACTTCATATTCTAGAGTTGTTGAGTATTCGTCAGGAGCTTGAAAATGATGTGTCACAAGACCACCCTTTCCACTTAATTTTTTTCTCATCTATCAATTTCCCTTCAAAATAAAGTATTCATGCATTAATTTCCTTACCCCAAATTTCAATTTTTTTGAGTTGACTCGTTCAGAAACTAGAAGGGAAGGATATTAAAGAAATGCACTGTATTTTTCGCGAACATTCAAACTCCTGAGAAAATCTGACTTTTGATTTATATTCAGAAACTCTTCAGGACCTGATTCATCAACGGATACAACAGTTTTTCAGCAAGGTAGTGCACCCACATATTCATTACATTCTTTGAGGGGTTGGTTAGATCAGACATATTCAGGCATGTGAATTGGTAGGCGCGGCCCATTAGAATGGCCTTCTCGGTCACCAGACTTGTCTTCTCGATTTTTCTCATGGGGTAATATCAAATCGGAAACAGAATTAACGAAACTCATGCTAGCATTACCCCAGAAGCATTCGAAAATGTTAAAAATGAACTCGAAAATATACTGTTTTCTGTCGGGAGAATATTTTGAATAGTTACTAGAATTATTTTCCCATGTTTGAAATGATAATAAAGAGGTATAAATGAAACACTACTCTTTAATGCCCTTGAAATTAACACTTATCTATTGAACATCGGTAACTCCGCAACCGGTTATCGAGATTCAAAAAAAATTTATAGCATATAGACAAGTAAGATTTGCATAGAAAATCCATCTAAAAAAAGTTGAAAGCGCCCTCAAGGCGCTTTAGTACCAAAGTACTAAAATTGATTCTTTTTTTTTATTTTGTTCGACTCTGAAATTTTTTCCCGGTCGAAGTTAAGAGAGGAGACTATACACATACACACTGTATGAATGAAAGTAGACCGACAGATAAAAAAAACGATATCATTGAAAATTCTGTTGAATATGAGCCAAATAATTTCTTATTTCAACTAAATTTTCTAGAAGAGAAAAAGTCGAGATTTTAAACAGAAAGTAGCGCCTAAGATCTTTCGAAAAAGTATATGTAATGCTTTTTCGTATTTTATAATTGAACATTCAACGTCACAATGGTTATAATGCCATACGATGTCACATTTTATTGGTTTGCTTTTTGTTGAGTTTACTGATACAACTGTGACTATAGCTGAAAGATTATATATTATGCAATTGCATTTCTGGTGACTGGGAAGAGTGCTGGTTTAAGATTTAAAGTACATATCGACCGATCCAAAAAATCCTATCAGTTAAAAAAAATGTGTGCGTCTCGAGACACCAGACAGAAGTGATAGCTCAAATTAATCTAAGTTGATCTATTTATTATCAAATTGTTATACTTGAGGAAAGCTTAGGTTGTTATTCAAATGTTATGTATATTGATATGATAATGTAAGCAATGGTTATTCATTAATAAAATCTTCTTTTGATTATTATATATCATAGTTACTTTAAGCCAATTGTTACTTTCATAGGATTAAATTATGATACTGTTAGTGTACATACGAGAAATTATTATTATTATTTTTAGCCACGTTTCACATAATAAAAAAATATCACGAGCTTGCTGGCTAGATGTTTTTAATACTGTCATCAATACATGTCTAACGCACACTGAACACTGATCGTCCATCCGCCAAGAGAGGAGGAGCCTGCCTTCTGCTGACGTATGCGTGAGAGAAAGGGAAGTCAGACAGACTGACGATGTTACACGTTAGGGAACGAAGCGGTGTGCCTCCCATAAAATTTATCACTTCAAAAAAAGGCTGTAGCGCCATCCCGACAAGTGATGAACACTATGGCCTTCTTTATTGAAAAGTACTAAAAATTATACCTTTTTACATAAATTTTATCCGACCTTGATATCTTCCTCCACTGTATAAGTTTATCCCTTGGATATTCCGCAACAGATATATTATGCTTTTTGGTGGGCATTTTTCGTGCTTAGGAAGGTCAAGGTAAATTCATTACAGATGGCGCACTATAGTATTATTTGATATCGATAGAGAATAATGAATATTGCAACTGAATTTTTCTCAGTTTCAAACAGACAAAGTTCATAACTCTGTCAAACGACACACGTTCTTTTTCAAAAATAATGTTTGCCATTTTCAGTAATACGGCAAATAAACTCCCGATACTGCTTGAAATCTTCAACGATTAGATAATTTTGGCAAAATCGAGGACTCAATGATACAAGTGATAAAAAACAAATGAATGATAAGCACCTGCTTTTGAGCCATAGCCTGCATTTGTTGGAACATCTGTCTCTCTTCCTCTTTACCTGGAACAGACCCAACACCCAAAGCATTAGTCCTAGCAAGAGTTTTCAGATGAATTTGTAGGAGTTTGTCACATCACTGGAGTTCCCCAAATTTTTCGTGGGTTGGAAGAATGAGCTGAAATTTCTCCACAAACAAATCTCAGCCGTGTAAAAATTGTGTAATTTATTTGGTGTCGCATTATTTTTAATTTTTGTTCCTGTCACAAATCAATCGTCATAATTATTGTTCTTTTGCATTACTTGGTGGAAATTGCGAGTCAGTTTTATGATATGAGTCAAAAATATTAATCAGTGGAATAATGGCCGTTCGCCTCTGGAAAAGTAAATGATCAACGAGGCTTTATCATTTCTATTCAGGGCAAAAATAAGTGAGCAGAAGAGCAGAAGAGTGATAATTTAAGAGCAATATGAAATCTGATAGTATTTCACACCGTTTGAAATAAATATGAATGTGGTCATTGAACCCCAACAAAAATCATCTGCCTGTTTCTCTTTAAAATCTGTTTTTTCGTTAATCAGCTGTCGCCCCCATACGAACGACAACTCTCAGGAGTTGAGAAACTTGTGCGAGCTAAGGACTAACGAGGTATTACCTTTTAACGTGTGATTCCTAACACAGGTTGGACAATAGCAAGTAAAAATCAATCGTTCAGCCTGGGGTTTGAACCACCGACCAACACGGCAGTGGGTGAACAAAGCACCCAGGTCGAACCGACCAGCTTCCGACCGACCATAAAGTTCCATAGGCATGATAAATACACTTCAGAGTAACTTTGTGATGACGATTCAAGTTAGAATGACTTTTTGTAATGAAAAATATGGAGTTCAGGTGATATCTCAATTCTCATAGTGATTGTTTGAAATTTGTGAAGGAGGCATCGAAAAACTCAACTTTGATTGCCATAAAAACATTGATGTTTTAATTTACCAAAAAACGAAAGAACATTTGGCAAAGAATTCCAATATTTAGGAATGGCATTTGACAGTAACTAAATTGAAAATCTCATTCATAACATTACACAACAGAAGTACTGTTGGTGTTGAAATGACTAGTGAATTTGATACTTGGAATTTTACTCTTTCAATATTTTGCACAAATGGAATTGGAACTGTTATTCAATAATATCAAATTGAATTTTGTAATTTCATTTATTTATTTGATAATATGAAGAAAAAATTAAATGAAATATCGTACGATACATACAGTGTGTACAAGCCAAACGGAATAAATTCATTATTACGGTTACGGTACATATTTTTACACGTCAAATTTAAATTAAAATTTGACATACTTCATCTTATTCATCTTTTTTCAACCCCCGTCGAATGACAGGTACAACCCCCAATTTTTCAAATGGAAAGTATACGCTTGTGTTATATCGTTTGGAATGTCTCTTCATTCTCTATTAAAAAATGTTATCGTTTTCAAGTTAATTGCAACAATTAGCATGAAATTAATTAAAATCATGTGGTTACTGAAATTTGATAGAATACACTCAAAACTTATTGCAATATATTGCAAGCTTATTTCATGTTGAGGTATTGATAATAGGAAAGTAAGCAAAAACCATAGCAACGTTCTTTTTGGATGGTATCCTTTAAAAAACTGTAAATAATTTCCATGTCAACTTTAGTTTTAAACGTCTTGTCAACTTGTTTTGTATGTTACAACATTAGTTACCAGTATTTTAATTTAAGTTTGAATTTCGTTAATTTCAAGTCTGACAAATGGTTAGATTACCGGAAGTGCATAAAATAACGATAAGCAAAATAGAGAAGCAGTTTCGCGAGCTTGGTCATGTGGAGCAGATGAAAAAAGCAGCTGCCAATGCAATGAGTGTTGAACTCAAATTAGATGGCATACTTGAGTTTGAGATAAACCCACATACATCGAGTAGACAAGTATCCAATATATTCAATGTTAGCCATACATCGATAGTAAACATATTAAAATAAAATAAAATACATCTCCATAAAATGATACGTCATGAAAGACGATTATGATAGAAGAAATTATTTTTGTGAGCAAATGATGGACATGTTGGATAACAATATCATTCAATTAGGAGACGTTATGTTTTCTGATGAGTGTACTTTGTCTCTCAACAGTCATGCTAATCGGCAAAATTGCCTCTACTGGTCAACGGAAAATCCTCACCAGATGAGAGAAGAACACACGCCATACTTTCAAAATGTTAATGTTTGGGCAGGGATTAAAGGAAACCATATCATTGGTCCCTTTTTTACTGAGGGCAATTCGAATGGCGATAATTATTTGGCACTACTTCAAAATGATGTAATTTCAAGTTTAGCAGATCTGATCCACCCTCAAGTTCCAGTGAATACGATATGGTTTCAGCAGGATAGAGCACTACCAGATTACCAAGTTGATGTCCGGCAATACCTCGATACAACATTTTCCAATCGGTGGATAGGGAGGCGAGGATCGATTGAGTGGCCAGCGCGATCACCTGATCTTTCATCATTAGATTTTTTTATGGGAATATGTAAAGAACAATGTGTAAAAAACTAAACCTTCAGATTTGAATGACTTAAAAGAACGAATAACGCTTGCGATTAGGTCGGTCACGCCTGTTATGTTGAATAATGTTATGATACAGTTTTATTTAAGATAAGGATGTTGCCAGGACGTTCGCGGTGAACATTTTGAACATCTACTTCGTTAACATACGTGATCCTTTTTCGTATTCTACATTTCATTACGTTTTGCATTAAATTTTAGTTTTGGAGTGTATTTTATTGAATTTCGGTAACCACATGATTATAACTTATGATAGGGGAGCCCAAGCGGGGATTTCGGGATTTACTAAAGCGCGGCAGATTGATATACAGGGGGATACCTTGTACTCGGTTAAGTACCTCCACCAAATATGAGCTCCATATATAAGATTAAAAAAAAAATTGATCATCAGAAATTATCAAGTGCGTCAGATTGAGGTAGGGTGAGTTAATTACTTGCTGAAAAGTGTATATTCCAGTAATCTGACAATTTGAGAGTGACGTAAAGAAAGGGGAGGGCAGCAAAGTTATAAAAAAATAACGTCATTTCGACATTCTCGAGCGTAGCTAATTTTTTTTTATTTTGAAGGAAATTATTCAAGGATAACGAAAAATATATAATCTGACGATTTCCGCAAGCCGTAATAACAAAAATTCGTCAATAAAGTTTAATGCCTGCAGCTGTGTGATACCTATATTTCCCTCTCCGAGTTTCTGTTCCTCTTTCACTTTTTCTCTATCTATTACTCTCTCACTCCGTCCCCACTCTGAATTATGTTGCCATGACGCCATCACAGCTGATCACAGAGACTCGTTCGTGATGAAGATGAAGATGATGATTAATAATTCAATTAATTGATGGATGTAGCCGTTACTACGTGGTAGGAAATCATAAATAACTAATTATTCAATTATTATTATTAATCAATTGATAATTTATAATAATTCATTAATTGATCAATTGATTATAAAAAATAAATTTTTTTGAACATTCAGTCAAAATTATTTTCTTATAAATACAAGTATTCTACTCAAAAAACATACACTCATTTATTTGCATGCTATTTCCTGAGCTTTTCAATTAATTGAGTTCAATGAATTAAAAAAAAATGAAAAAATATTTTTTTTGTCAGATTAAGCGAATCCCTCTCTAGATAATTGTCAGGTTATGAAACAGCACGTCTAAAACATATGATGAACCATATATACCTCAATCTGACGCGCTCGAGTATTTCAAAATGGCGATTTTTTTTTGCAAATTATAATAATGGCCGCGAGTTTGCGTCAGATCGAAATCGTTGGATTATTGCATAAGAACTTTTTTTTTGTTGCACTTAACACCCCCTTAGAAAATCTGACGCGCTCGATTAATTTTTTTTTTCACTTTTAACCCTTACGTACAACCACCCACATCATGCAAATGATCAGATTAACATACCAACATTATTGAAAATACGTAGGACATTGATGCTATCAATATCTGACGCACTCGAGTATGTCCATGCATCAGTATTTTCAACATATTTGAAAATCTATAGCCGCTTCCCCCACCGATGAAAATGTATATATTATATAACATTGTTTTCTTCTTATCATCTAAGCTTTGCAACCTAATATGTCTCAATGACGCTCGAGTAAATCCCCATTTTGCATCGTGGGCTCCCCTGCTATTATTTTATCTCAATTGTTGAAATAAACTTGAAAGCGATTACATTTTTGAATAGAGAATTTCAAACGATATATCACAAACCTATACTTCCCATTTGAAATTGGGGGTTGTACCTGTCTTTCGAAGGGGGTTGAAGGTAGGGGTGACATTTTTACATTGAAGACAAATTATAATTTACATTTGACTTGTTTCGGGATTTTTTGAATATACAGTAACCGAAATAATGAATTTATTCAATTTGGCTTTCACACACTGTATCTTATAAAGTGTTATTACAGTGCTTGTTCATATTCCGGAATTGTATTTTTTCAAGTCGTCCGTAAAACAACTTGTACTTACTACTACTTCAGTTTTGCACACTGCTTCTTCTGGATCTTTTTACCCTATATTTATTTTAATCTGATAAACAAACTTTTAATTTATCAATTTATCTGGGAACTGTAATTAAGTGAAATGAGAAGAAATTTTGGAAATCGTTGATGATGTGACCTCTTTCCTAAATTCATCCAAGAACTCTATCTAACACCTTCATTCTAAAGTGCACCTAACTCCTCTGTGCCAGGAGAGGGGTTATCAGAATGTGCATTAGCACTGTAACTATGCCTAAAGACTCATATTTCTTCTCTATGTTAGCCGCCGACACCGTCGGATATACAGGGTGGTCAAACATATACGTCACAACTATTTACTCTTGAGTTATGTCAGAACCAAATCCATGATTATTCGATGAATGGAATGATTGAAAACGCATGAGAGTTAAGAAAGTAGTGAAAAATCACTAAATTTATATACATATAATGAGTTTTCATCA